GGATGAAGACTACATCAGAATAAATCTTGTAAGGAGTACCACAGTCTTGCTAGTAGTAGGTGTTTGTTCACTGCACTGTTATGTTTGTACCTTGAATAATCTTTATCAATAGCTCCCTAAGAAAGGATTTTTTCCACTTGTTAAGAAACATGGATTTACTTTTGTTGCTTTTAATAAAGAGGTATGAAGTCCAATTTCTGTTGCAGAAATTCTGATGCCCTACATCCTGACATCCTGCTCCTTGACTGATATTGGCAGCATAGGTGTAGGCCTAAATTAACTAACAATAGCATGTGTGAATTTAAACACACGGGATTGATAACAACTAAGGAGACAGTAAATAAGATCAAGGATGCTAGCCTTCAAGAGTGGTGCCCAATGTTGAGAGAGACTAGAACAGAACAGAAGCAAGGACACACCAACTGCTAACTCAGCACTAGGACCTTGTGAGCACTGAGGTCATTCAGTAAACAGTGAGGAAGACTATCTACAACCACCGGAGACCACACTCAGGAAGAAAGCACACGTGTAATTCGAATGCACATATTATAATTAGCTCCTGGAAGTCTCATTAATATATAAATAGCTTCCTGGGAAAGCTGTGAATATGCATGAGTATGCTAAATATATAGCCATTGCCGACAAGTAACAGGTACACTCACCTTTGCAAAACGATTCACGTGTGTGCCCAGCACTACAATAAGGAATGCTGCTTTCTAAAACCCCAAATTGAGTCTTACAGAGTTTCTCCAACTGACTTTTAGTGTAACATAGGCAGGATGCCACCCACATTATTCATGTAAAGTATGCTTCTCTCAAATCACACTACCATTGGTGGAGCCAAGGGGAGGCACAACTTTTATCCATGCTCAAAAGGCATTTACACAATTAGCAGTTGCTGCCAGATGACCAGGCCCCTTGCAGTCCACCAGAATCCTGTCATCACTTATGATCCTGTGTTTCCTAATAGTGACTGGATGACTCACCATATGGGCACATCATTGCTCATTTTTCTTAGTGCCTCAATAAAATTCTGTTTTATAACATGTTGTAAGACTCCATTAGCATTCAGACTACAGGTGGCTGAACAGGTCACAGGCAGCCTTTGTGAAGAAAGATCAGGGGCCTAAAAGCTTAACAGAAGTGTTTCCGGTAAGACTCACAACAGCCCCACCAGTGATCAAAGCTGAGCCAGTCAGCGAAGCTGCTAGTGCCTCTGTAATAACATATTTAAGAAAGTGTAAAAACATTGTGCAGTTGGGGGGGGGGGGATATGCTGTTGGCAGGAACTGCAGCCCATAATGAGGAACCCATTCAGAAGCAGGTTTTCAGGCAGGAACCATGGCCCAAGGGGGGGAATACTTGTACTGGTTTTGGCTGGGATGGTCTAGCTATTGCTGAACAGTGCTTACATAGCGTCAAGGCCTCCTCTGTTTCTCACACTGCTCTGCCAGCGAGTAAGCTGATCCAACAAGAAGTTGGGAGAGGACACAGCCAGGACAGCTGACCTCAGCTGACCAAAGGGATATTCCATGTATATGAATATGAAGACCCATGTTATAAAAGGTGATTTCTATAGTTTGTCTTCTTAAAATTTCTGCTTTTTACTTACTTTCCATTACTCAAAAAAATAAAACCCAGAACACACCTCCAAAAAAAACACCACAGATTTTAACCTCCAAATTGCAAACCTTCAATTTCTAAGTCTTAGATCTTCTCTCTTCCATCTTTACTTAATCAACTTTCCTCTAAACTCTCCAGTTTCAGTGGTAGTTGCTAGTTTACTACAGTAATACATCCTTTATTGCAAAAATATCTGAATTGATACTCTAATGTCATCATACTAATTCAGAAGGTTGTTCATAAAAGTGCTTAACTCCCACTTAACTAAATAGACAGACATAATTTATTGACAGACCTAAATACCTGCTTCAAATATGCTTTATAAATGCTCTTTAAGTCCCCAGTTTAGAAATATTTGCCACAAATATGATTATTCAGATATAAACAAACATTTCTTTTACTGAATATATCATCTTCACCTACTAATATGCTTTGCAGTGAGAATTCTAATGTTAGTAATATCACAGAACACCACATTCTGAAATGGACTATTTGAGCAGAAAGGTACTATTCACAATTTGACTGAAGCAACCCATTTAACAAAGACTTCTTCAGAATGCAACACAAAACATTCCAAGTCAAATGAGTAACATTATTTATATTTCCATACAATGTTCTTGTTCTATGTTCTTGTTCTATGTTCTTGTTCTATGCTATGAAGGTTATATTGCTTGCTATATATAAAGCTAATATTGCTTTTATTAACTGAAACTGTATGCTTTAAGCTGTTAGGGCAGTGTTCTGCTATTCAGAAAAAAATGGTACCATTTTACTGAATTATAATGTCACAAAGAATTAAATTTGGCTTTTTATTATAGTTTTTGGGCTTTAGCAGAACTATATTTTAACTGCTCTAAAAGCAGACACAAGAAATGAAGAAGGGTATTAATCTAATTTAGACTTAAGATTTTAACAGCATTAAAAAATAAAACAAACTTGAATGTAGTTGTACAAAGTAATGCATTTTACTATTTGCAAGAGAATTTCTGTATCTAATTCCACCTCCAAACCACCTACCTACCCACATTTTCTACCTTTTTCACACCTTTAACACAAAGGATTTGAGAGGTAAAACACTGATAGATTGGTACAATAGAGTAAATTTGTCCATCAGTCAGTTTTATACAAATCTTCACAAGAATTTCACAAACCTCTGTAAAAAGGTTAGAGTTTGATTTAAAACAGCCAATTTCCTCATGTTTAGCAGATTTTTTTTAAAGCAATATAGTACTTTATATCACCATTCGTCTCCAAAAAGTTATAAAAATTATAAAAATTATCTTGGAATATGTTAGCTGAACCAAGACAGAAAAAATAAAAACAATGAAACACTGACCATGTTTATTTTGGAACATAAAAAATGTCTACATGAGATTAGCTGATACTGCAAGCTTCACACAGACATAAGAACCCCTACAGGAGGCAATTATGGAATAACCTTTTCAGTGAAGGTCTTTTTCTAACTCCATTAGTTTGACTTGTATGCCAAAGTAAAAGAATTTAATTTCCTTCAAAACTGTTTGTTTGTTTACTTGTTTAGCAGGTGACTTTTAGGAAGCCCTACAATGGATTAATTTACAAGATAAATTGAAACTTACAAATCACCTTAAGCAAGCACTGTCGTAATGCTCCATTTAATGATTCATTATCTTCTGTTTTGTCTCATAATACTATGCCAAAAAAGAAAAAAAGGAAAAAAAAACCCACACAAGACTCCCCACCCCCAAAAATCCCAAAACAAAACAAAAAATAAAAAAAAAAAAAAAAAAAACAAAACTCCAACACACACACACAGAGCCCAAAACATGACAGCCACTCTCATTCTAAACAGCTTTATTAGTTTTGGTACCAGAAGCATTCTGAAGTACCTTTGTTTTACAAGGGGCTTCATATTTTTGAGGGACAAAAAGTTCCTTAAATTCAAACTACTTTATTATGAAAAGAAAACCATGACAACTGTTCATACTCTTCCTTTGTTATTACATCCAACACGGTTGCTTTTAGAAATTCAATCTACTACTGTTGCTAGGAGTCAGTTGCTGTGCAACCTAAAAGGTATGTGGTGCTTTCAGGTTAAGAAGCATTCATAAATCTGTAGGCCTACTTATACATTTCTGACCAACTAGTTTAGAGTTTAAAAATCTTCTCAAATAGTCACCACATACCTCCAGATATCTTTCTTTAAAAGGGTTATACTAACAGATCTTAACAATTGCACTGTTTTTTTGATGGCATAGAATTAATTTTCTTCATAGCAGCTTGTATGGTCCTGTATTTTGGATTTGTGACTAAAACAGTTTTGATAACACATCCATGTTCTAGCTGCTGTTTAAGAGTGCTTATGTGGCATCAAGGCCTTTGCTGTTTCTTACACTGACCTGCCAGCAAGTAGGCTGGAGGTACACAAGAATTTGGGAGGGGACAGAGCTGGGACAGTTGACCCCAACTGGCCAAGGGGATATTCCACACTATATGACATGACACTCAGCAATAAAAACTGGGGGGAAGGAGGAAGAAGGGGAGAATGTTCAAAGTTATGGCACTTGTCTTCCCAAGGAACCGTTACGCACAATGAAGCCCTGCTTTCCAGGGAACGGCTGAACATCTGCCTGCCAATGGGAAGTGGAATGAATTCCTTATTTTACTTTGCTGGCACACACAAGCAAATATTCAATATTAAAGCAGAAAAACTAAAGCAGTACATGTTATCTTCACTACATTCTAACTGAAAGCAAACAACAAAGTTTTCCTCTAATTTGTCATTTAGGAGGACAATTAAAAAAATTAAAACCCAAGAAACCTCAAAATTAATGTTTCAACAGCTAAAACAGCTGCACAACATGCTCTGTAGAAATACTTTATTTTATGCTCACAAAGAACAAGATAAAGCGCTATATTTTGGACCATAAATTAACAACCTAAAAAAACACCTTAAAAACAGCAGCATGATGCTTCATATTTACTTTTTATATTTATATATGCCAAATGAATCTTTAAGTTGACTCTAAGATGCTTCTGTCAAACTACATTCTATTGGGTTTGCTCATTAATTTCAATTATAAAATTCTGCAGGCCAAATTAGATATCTGCAAATGCCTCTACAGGATTAATATTTTAGCAAATCTACTAGAGAGGGGATAAGAAATGGCACACAGAAAAAGGGATCTATATGGATTTTTTCCTTTAAATTGGTCTATAGTAGCATGATTAATGACAACTGGCTTATAGCTTTTGCCATAAAATGTATCCATATGAAAAAAGATGAAGTATAGGGTGTGGACACTTGCTTATTGGCCAGAGGTCTATCACCAAATGGAATATATAAAACCTGGTAACTGACTGCCTTTTCTTCAATAGTAGCATAAATTTACTCTTACCTTTCCCCATATAATTATTCTGATGAAATCTGTGTTTTTGAAACCTCTACACCTCTTTCAAACAAGATGAAGGGCAGTATCACAGAAACTGTATAAAAAAGAATAAAAAGATGTCTCAAAAGTTATCAGAAAGGCTAAAATAACTAGTCTATACAATACCTAGTGTGTGCACCTCAAAACATTTCATACTACTAGTGGAGACCAGCGACGAGTGGCATTCCTCAGGGGTCAGTATTGGGACCAGCTCTGTTTAACATATTTGTCAAGATCCACCCTCAACAAGTTTGCTGACAAAAATCAAGTTATGTGGTGCGGTCGACACGCTGGAGGGAAGGGATGCCATACAGTGGAACCTTGACACACTTGAGAGGTGGGTCAGCACAAACCTCATGATGTTTAACATAGCCAAGTGCAAGGTCCTACACCTGGGTCAGAGCAATACAGGTTGGGCAGAGAAGTGATTCAGCCCTGAAGAGAAGGACTTGAGGGTGTTGGTCGATGAGAAACTGAACATGAGCCAGTACTGTGCACTCCCATCCCAGAAAGCCAACTGTGTACTGGGCTGCATCAAAAGGAGCATGACCAGCAGGTCCAAGGAGGTGATCCTGCCCCTCTAACTCTGCTCTCGTGAGATCCTACTTGGAATACTGTGTACAGTTCTGGGGCCCCCAACACAAGAGGAAGGGCCACAAAGATGACCAGAGGGCTGGAACATCCCTCCAATGGAGACAGGCTGAGAGAGTTGGGTTTGTTCAGCCTGGAAAAGCAAAGGCTCCAGGGAGACATTCTAGCAGCCTTCCCTTCCAGTACCTAAAGGGGGCCTACAACAAGTCTGGATAGGGACTTTTTACAAGGGCAGGTAATGACAGAAGAAGGGGGAATGCTTTTAAACTGGAAAAGGGGAGATTTAGATTAGTAAAAATTCTTTGTTATGAGCCTGGTGAGACACTGGAACAGGTTTCCCAAAGAAGCTGTGGCTGCCCCAACCCTGGAAGCGTTCAAGGACAGGTTGGATGGGGTTTTGAGCAACCTGGTCTAATGGAAGGTGTCACTGCGTAAGGCAGGGGGTGGAACTAGATGATCTTTATGGTCCCTTCCAACCCAAACCATTCTATGATTCTATGATCTCCTGCACTTTTAGGATTTAGCCTTGTAAAGAACACAGTAACAATTTGGAGTCCAGAATCAAGCACCCATTTCCATCAACACAGGCAAAGAGAGAACTATAGAGACTTAAAAAGTACAGTAATTGCTATATTTAATTACTTTCAAGGACAGATTGCTGCAACATTAAAAGCTAACCTATTGATTATGATCTCAAAAGTGATGGAAAACAGCTTGGAAAACTGTCTAAAAATATTATATCTACACAGCTACAGTTAAAGACAACTAGATATATTATACTGTAAAAATTGCTGCACTTACAAGCTAGCTATTGATTGTCTGAACTATATTTTACAGCCTTGGTATTTGCCAGATCTAGTTTCTACTGATAGCAAGTGTTTTCCTCTGTGTTGCTCAAGGATATACTACAGGCAGGAGGGACTTCAGCAAAGAGCAGTTGCCAGTGCTGTCCAACTTCAGTTGTTCCATAAGTAACCCTCTACTGGTACCATAAGATAGACCCTTGAATGTAACTAAAGTAAATGAGACTTCTGCAGACATACAGGGGCTTTTATATAAAATGGGACAGAGCCTTGATCTGTTTGGTGAGACAGCTTGGTTGACTAAGTTTTCCCCACATGAAGAAATTCAACCAGAACCAGACCCTACCAAGATTAAAACAGCACTCCCCCCTCATCTGGTAGACTAGCACGCCTGTACAGTACAAACTGTCCAAGTTCAATGCTCCCTTTAGTCTTTTCCACTCAAATCCCTTCTCCTTCCCTCACTCCTCAGCATCAAACTTTTAAGTACTTGATGCAAGTACATACAGCAGGGTTTGACACATACGCAGATTCTCACTCTATCTGAACAGCTGCTTCACATTTACACAATAAAGATGTACCCACAGTGAAATGGATATTGCCATCGACACGATTTTTGAACATTTTCCAGCATCGATATGTTTTAGTTTTGGTGTATCTTCACTAAATTTATTCTATTTCTAGCTAGACATAGTGTCAGTCACCCAGAACTTTCAGGAAAATTAACTTCTTTGCAATTCCAAGAACAGGGCATGTTAAAATAAAATAATAAATTAAATCACCTCAATCACCTGTATTTAAATGTATACGTATATACATATACATAAAATATATAACACATATATATTAACACAGATATTAAATAAAAAACACAAAACTCATACATAAATCAATCAGCTACACCAATATTAGGTTTTAGTAAATCCCTGATTTTTTTTAGTGGCAAAACAGGGATGTCAAACCAGGTACAGCAGCACTACTATATCAGAAAGGGGGCAGGCTTTAATATGCTCTGCAAAAATATAAGCAAATATCAACTAAACACACTTAGAGATAGTTACTAAATTATCTAAAATATAAGCTTACAACTCAGATTCTCCTACTTGACAGAAAGGCTAATTCCTCAACATTATTATTTTCACAATACATTTGAAGATGTTTTAACCAATCTTCAGGTTGCTGGTGTGAAAAATAGATCCTGAACTGCTGAATAAGCATTCTTCCTAATAATTTGCAATTGGCTGAAGAAGTCATATTAAAAATAAATTTTAAATGTCAATTTTGTCTATATTGAGATGAAGCAGATAATGTTTACACCCCAGAAGAAAACTGATTAACAAAAGAGTAACTGTAGGCTATCCCTGCAGCTCAGCTGGATATACTTCAGAGATGTCTGATATACAATGCTTCCCAGCCTTGCTATGTCCAACTACCCCCAAGTAAACTGTGACACATTAAATCGTGTGGAAGCAAAACACCTAAGAAGGAAAAGGAAAGTGGACAGGAAACAATTCAGCAAAAAGGAACCATATTGAGATTAATAAAGATTGAAAATGAGTGCCAGCAAATACAGAAAAAAAGAATTATAAAATATACACAGAGAGACAAAACTATCAGCAATAATAAAAAAGCAAAGTAGGTCTAAAACATAAATTGCAAAAGCAAAGAAAATATTGACACAAAAAAGATTTAAAGAGTGATATTTTAATTTATCTAAATAAGCAAAATGTTCCAAGGATGTTCTTTAGCTTCCCCCATTATCTGAATTCCAAATATCCCTTTAAAATTCTAGCATCTGCATGTTATTAAACAGTAATTCTAAAAAATGAATAATTCTTTTCCTAATACAACATTATAGTTAGTTCAAAATTAGGTTAAATTCAAAAGGACTGATAATGTAATAAAACAAAAAAGAATCAGCCAAGATTAAAATATGTTAGAAATGTTAGAAAGAGAAATGAGAGTAAATCCAAGTAAAGCAATTACACAGGAAATATATATAGGATTTATATTAAGAATCGGGGGGGGGGGGAGAACTAACCACTGACTGAAGAGTTGTGAAGAACTAGACAGTAACACCATTATCAGTGTTTTTCTTCTTTTAAGTTACTTTAAAAATAGGCTAAAACCCACATTAGATACATTCTGTCATTTTTCTAAAAAGCATTTATATTAGGTAGCAGAAAGAAACTATGTTCACAAGATAGCATGTACAAGAGGTTCACTTCTTAACACAGTATAAGCTAGGGTTAATAGACTATGAAACTATTTTAGAACATCTACTAGGATAATACAGCTTGATACAGAAACTAAATGACAACAGGAAACCACATGAATCAACAACATGCCATGGTTGGACCACCTTAATTAAGAAAACATACACAGGTAGTTCTTTTTCCTATATAACTATACATTAAAGACTTCTTTATTAGAAAAAAAAAATTGGTTGTGAAGAGCTAAAGTAAGACAAACATACAGCATTATGTGTTCTAAATATGCACAGTTCCTTTGAGTTTATTGAAAACTCAGTGGTTTCTATACTAGCAGGTTAAATTCTACAAGTAATATGAGCTGGAGTATTCAAAAAGGCTCTGAATCAGTGCATGGAAAATAATACAAACAAATATTCCATGTAGAACAATTATGTTTTTTAAATAAAATTAAAATGTTAGTTAATGAGAACATGAAGTTAGGTATTCAGAAGAACAGCACTGCAATTCTGAAATTAAATTACACTTGCAACCAAATAGCTTGGTTTATGGAAATAACAGCTAATTTCACTGAAGGATTTTATATAGTACCAATTAGCCCTTCAACCTCTACTATTAACTACTAATCACACTTTCAAGCCAGTTTTAAACGATCTTTAATCCCTCTGCTATGCTACCCACTGGCCTTTCCTATTGATATACAACATACTTTGGAACATTACAAGTACTGACTGCAGCATATCAGATAAAAACTGCGGGGGAAAAAAAAAATACCCTTCATAATAAACAACTACAGGGCAATTTACATCATTTCTTCCGCTTTGAAAATAATGTCTCTTCCCATATTATAACATGGCAAGGAAAAAAAGCTGAGAAAGATAAAGTGCTAGAGACTTCTCCCTCCCCCCTCCCCCCTCAATCAATACTGAAGCCTAATGGAGCAGTCCCAGCCAGGATGCTGCAAGGAGGGAGGAGGTAAAGGTTGGGGTGGAAGGAAAGGAGAATAAAGGGATAGAAAGGCGGGATTGCAAGCCTGTACAGAACAGTTACATTCACCTGAACCGTGGAAAGCTGTGTTGTTGTTCTTGTTGGTGATGGGTGTTTTAGATGACGATGAGGAAAGAGATGGAGGCCAGCGGAAGAGCGGTTGTTGTTGATGAGTAACAGTCACCAGGACTACGGTAACTGGTACTTGATTCACAAAGCAACTGTTGCTATAACACACAAAAGAGAGAGAGCAAGAGAGAGAGGAGGAGGCAGTGACCTAGCCGAAGAGACCCGGAAGAGGTAGGGCCTTCTGTATGACGGATAGCTGCTAGGGCTGGAGGGGAGGGGGGTGTGTTTCCTCAAGGGGGAGGGGGGGAAGGAAGGTTGGGAGGGACATTAACTCCACCTCGCTAAGGGCGTGCGAGGAAGTATTCTATCTCCAACAAGCAAAGTAGCAGTAGCATGACAATGGACTATCCATGGATGTAAGATCACACTACATCGGAGCAGGCAGGGGGAAGGAACCTATAATAGTGGCTGATTGTTCAAATGGATAGCAACCACCGGGCCAACTCCCGAGGGAGAAGGAAGGAGAGAAGAGGGGGTGTGGTCATATCAACATATCTGTCCCCTGCATAGATCATGCTCACTGCCATCCTGACATCACATCCGATTAGTGATTAAGATAAAGGGGGGTTTTGTGCAGGGATCTCCGTTCAGTGGCTTGCTTTGCTTTTCCACCTTGCTTGCATCCTGCTACTTGTGAGCAGTTTAGAGTGAACAGGAAGTTCTGCTTTGTGCTCACTGCTTCTCACCATTTTCGACTACTTTTTCCATCAGAAAATGGCAGTGAAGAGCTTCTGATGGATGGGGTATTTGTTAAGTTAACGAATGCTGCCCTTTAAAGTAGGTGAGACTGTGGCTGCACCTGTACTGCCCTCATTGGCAAAGCTGAATGTTTTCTGTAACCGCTGTATACACTTAGCCTGGTGGACTTGCCACATATGCAACCAGAATGTGCATTATTACCAGCTGCCTTGTGCCAACCTTTCCCTCCATCGATGTTCCTCATAGACCCCCTACCTATCCCCACATATGCCTTTCCTTAGAATGCAACCTGATTCACTTCTATTCCTTCCCTGAACACACTTCAATCTGGATGCTGCCACCAGCACAATGCTCTTTAATTTCCTTTCTTCATCCTGTTTTCCCCTAATCTCCCATATCAGCAGTGATTCTCTGCTCTTCTAGGGTCATGGGGCTACAAGGTGTTACTTGCTTGTTTTAGGGTGTGGTGGGTTGACCCAGGCCAGACTCCAAGTGCCCACTGAGCTGCTCTATCACTCCACCTCCTCAACTGGACAGGGGAGAGAAAATATAATGAAAGGCTTGTGGGTTGAGATAAGGACAGGAAGAGATCATTCACCAGTTACCATCACAGGCAAAACAGACTCAACTTGGAGAAATTAGTTTAATTTATTGCCAATCAAATCAAAGTAGGATAATGAGAAATAAAACCAAATCATACAAACACATTCCTCCCACCCCTCCCTTCTTCCCAGACTTAACTTTACTTGCAAATTCTCTACCTCCTCCCCCCAAGTGGCACAGGGGAACAGGGAATGGGGGTTGCAATCACTTCAACTGACACATTCAGAGACTCCTGAAGGGCAGGACTCCTCACAGTCTTCCCCTGCTCCAGCGTGGGGTCCCTCCCATGGAAGAGAGTCCTCCAGGAACTTCTCTGATTTACGGAACAGAACTTCATAACTCACAAAGAGTTATAAAGCAGGTATGTTTATTGCAACGCCAGGTGCAAAGGGGATCGCTCCTCTTAACTCACACACCGAGAGCTCAACAAGCTGGATATTTATTATACACAAACATACATATTCATTAGGTTCCCGAGAGTTCGGTGGGGATGTTATAATTAGTTTAGGTGCTTATTATCATAAATCTCCTCCCTTTTAGCGCTTGCTCACTGCCCTCCGATGGTCGTGGGCAGGGGTCTTCAAGAAGAAGTAAGCAGTCTTCCTCAGGGTGCACTTTTCACCCTTGGTACAGTTTCCCCAGCTGGCAACCTCAAGTCTTATAGAAACTAGTTGAAACAAATTCCTGTCAGACATTCATCTTCTTGAGGGAAAAGGGTCTCTGATTTTAAACAATGTGCTTTGGCTACCTATTCTATTCTGGGTTATAGCTTAACTGGCAAGAACAAAAGCATACCTGTTCCCTATTCTAAGTTAAGACAATGTATAGTTTGAAGAAAACTCTTAACTCTTTCCTTAGTCCGCTACTATTCCTCACACCAAGTCCTCACTTTTCTATAAACTTTGCAAATTCACTCCCCCCCTTTTCTTCCCTTCCCCACTGCTCCCAGAGAAATGGGGAGGAAAATCGAAAGAATGTAACTCCCACGGGTTGAGATAAGAACAGTCCAGTAACTAAGGTATAACACAAAACCACTGCTACCACCAATAATAATAATGATAAAGGAAATAACAAGGGAAGAGAATACAACACCTCACCACCTGCTGACCGATAACTCACCCCCACCCCCCCCACCCCACCCCCCGCCTGACCGAGCACTGACCAATACCTAGTCCAACCCCGCAGTGAACTAGCCCTTCCGGGTAACAATCAGTTACATCCTGGGCATGACGTGCTGTGGTATGGAATTCCTCTTTGGCTAGTTTGGGTCAGGTGTCCTGTCTCTGCTTCCTCCCGGTTTCCCCTCCTCCCTGGCAGAGCATGATGCTCAGAAAGTCCTTGGCCAGACTAAACATTTGAGCAGTAACTAAAAACATTGGTGTTATCAGCGCTGTTCCCAGGCTGAAAGTCAAAAACACAGCACTGCGCCAGCTACTAAGAAGGAGAAAAAATGACTCCTACTGCTGAACCCAGGACGGGGGCACAAAGAAGGGGGCGAGTGAGCAAGCAGCTGCATGGTTCTGAGTCACCAGCTGGGCTTAAACCACAACAGTTTTGTTGTCTAGTTCTTTGAGACACTGGAGTATGAACTACTACTTCTATCTCATCCCCCATTCCACTACTATCTGGTTCTGCTTCAACACTTCTTTCCCTTATGCGTGAAGGAGTGAAATTCTGTCCCTCCTGTGGGGATTCTAATTCTAATTCCATTTCATCCTCTCTTGGTACTACACAGTTAATACATATCTTTCCAATATCACAAGCTGAACAACAACTCTTTGTTTTCTTATTTTCCAAAGTTAAAGTCATCACCAAATTATCTCGACTGATTAACTTACATTCATTCTGCCAATCCATTTGTTGTCTCAAATAAAAGAACAAATCTACATATGTCACGTCATTCCATTTGTCTTCTTTTCTACAGAACAACATTAACTGCAAAATAGTATTATAACTCAAAAATCATTTTTTTGGCCATTTTCCTGATACTTCAAAACATACAAAGGCCACCAATGGTTACAATATTCAATCATCTGGCTTTTGCGTAAATCATCATGCAAATTTCACCAATGTGCTAACAAGCACCCCAATGGCAATGTTTTTGGTATCAAATTTGGAAATTTAATCGGTCATCAAATTTCCAGGACTTTTACACAATTTTACAAATCCTGTTGCCATTACGACAAAATACTCAAAAGGTAATTACAAAACCAAATCAAAGTCCAACCCAGCAACAGCTTTCGCTTATGACTTACAAGCAGACACCTAGGCTTCTGAATGCAAACAAGTACCCTCTTAGCCCCAACCCTGCATAGCTTTCACTGTGTCTTACAGGCAGGCTTTCCAAACCAAATTCTGAAAGAAATACCTTACCCCTTTCTCCAGGTAATGCTACGAGGAGTTTTATGAGTCAAGGGTGATGTTCCTCCTCGAGAATTCCTCTGCAATGGCCGGAGTTTGATCAGCACTTGATCTCCTCCAGTCTCTCTCGCAAGGTCCCATCTGGGGAATGAAGAACTCATCTGCAAGAAGCAGATAAACAGGCACTTCTTTATTACAGTGCTAGGTGCTAAGTGGAATTTCCACAAATCAAACCCCATGCCGATTTCGTCATTACATTTATATACAAAAATTACAAGGTAGTACAGTCCCAGTTACAATGATTGGTTAGTGATTTGCATATAATAATATCTGCTGTGTCATTCTCTTCTGTTATTATGCTTGTGTGGAGGAAGGGTCTTCACCTGAGCATGGGTCTTCTTGACCTGTGGGTGTGTTTTTTAGTATTATAATGAAGGCAGTTCACTTTAAGACACCTTAAAAGTGAGTTTTGTTGCCAAGTTGGCCAGCTACATATCTATCTTGCCAGGTTGTCAAATAACTCATCCCATATACAATAGACCCTAGGTGCAGCTGCTCACTCGCTATCCCCCCCCCCCCCCCCCCCTTCTTCCTCCCCCTGCTCCCGGAGGGATGGGGAGGAGAATCGAAAGAATGTAACTCCCACAGGTTGAGATAAGAACAGTAACTAAGGTATAACACAAACCACTACTGCTACCACCAATAATAATAATGATAAGGGAAATAACAAGGGGAGAGAATACAATTGCTCACCAGACACTGACTGATACCGAGGCTGACCCAGGCAGCAATTTGAGCCTTCCAGGTAACACCCCCCAGTTTATATACAGGGCATGACATGCTGTGGTATGGAATACCCCTTTGGATAGTTTGGGTCAGGTGTCCTGTCTCTGCTTCCTCCTGACTTCCCCTCCTCCCTGGCAGAGCATGAGACTCAGAAAAATCTGCTTCCGTAGTATGTGCATACTGCAGTTGTGGAGATCCCTTGGGGTTTTACCTTTGGTTTTCTTTCTAACATAAGTTCCAGTCTTCAAAAAAACAACTAAAAATCTTACTGGTTCTTCTGGACTAGAGAAGACAATGAAAACCAAGATGGCAAAACGGATCAGTTGTATTTTAGATTGGAACTTCTGCTACAACCTTCAGAGCATGTAGTTGGAGTTCAGCTAATTCTACTCATTTCCTACCAGCTTTATGTGAGCATTTTTAGTTTTATTTGTTGTAACATTTAGACCCAATGTAATATTCCAGTAGTGGTTATTCAAAGCATGGAAGAACCTTTTCATATTTGAAATTACTATCTGAAAGATTTATTAACAAATATTTAATTTTCTCCTCCTCTGCTGGGTTATTCCTAGTCTAGCTCCGTTGCATCTTTGGATATGTTTTGTGTGTCTTGGGTTTGGTTTGGTTTCATTTTGGATTTTGGTGTGTGGTGTAGAAAACATTCTTAAACCCACAAGGCCCAGAGTAAAGGCATGACAGTCCTAAATTTGTGCTGGAGTATCAGGTCAGTGATTAGTATCACAGTTCCAATATTCATAGCACCTTTGTTTTACAGGAAATAAGAAAATTTTCCTTCAGATTGAGTGGTTGATAAGGGCGAAGGAACTTTCTTGTTTGGTCTTTACTGTTTGAGTATTTTAAAATGTGTCTCCAATGAATGTGTTTAGTTATCTTGCTGCTTTTCACATGTCAAGTCAAATCTTTGTCATTGGCCACAGATTGTTGGACTTCACTGAATTTCTGTGGGACTGATTGGTTTATAAAGTTAGGTAACTCCCAACTAAGGTAGCTAATTTAAAAAAAATAAAATAAAATTTCTTATTTGGTATTCCCTTGTTGTGATGTGACAGTCTGAAACTGGGAGTCATGAAAAAAATAAAATCAATGCAGAAAATCTGTAAAAAACAAAGAAGTAGAAAAGTGTGTTGTGTTGTGTCGTGTCCTGTTCCGTCCCCCTGTCCCCCCCCCCCCAAATTCTCTTTTCTCGTGTTCACCATTTCAGAGAATGTCGATGCTTGTGATGCAGAGCATGGCTCTTCAGTGTTTTTCTCCTGTGTCAGGGTTTCAACTCTATATGAATGGACACCTGAAACTGAACCATAGGCAATTACTTAACCATTGTGGATTGGATACCAGATACAATGTGAGGAAACTCTTTTTTCCTTGAAGAGTGGACAAATAATGCAAGTATCTCCTTGTTGTAACAGGTGTCTGTGGTCAATGGCACAAGTCTCTTTTCAAGTGACTATGATCTAACAAACATCATTGCAGCATATTGGGATAGATATGGTAAGCCTGAATGTACAACTATGAATTACAGTCATTATCATACTGGCAGCTGTTCCTTTCCCTATTTTAGTTGCAACAGTCTTTTCAGATCCCAACCCTGTGTGGATGGCTGGAAGAGCAAAAGATACACCATTTATCATTAAAGCCACTATTCATTACCTAGTGGAAGTTATCTTGTATCCTTTGAAAACTGCATATACTGTGACATAACTGGGTTGCATTATTTAGGCTTTCACACATAGGCCAAATAAAAACTGTTTTCTTCTAGACTTGTTGCTGAACCTTTTCTTTCTTAGCTAAGCAAATGCTATAGTTCTGAAGCTAACTGAATACCTACTTGCCCATTCTTCTGGATGGTTCTGCTTGTATAACCATTTCTTGTCTGTTGTGGTTTAAGCCCAGCCGGTAACTCAGAACCACACAGCTTCTCGCTCACTCCCCCCTCCCCTCCCTTCCTCCACCCGCTCCTGGAGGGGCAGGGAGGAGAATCAGAAGAATGTAACTCCCACAGGTTGAGATAAGAACAGTCCAGTAACTAAGGTATAACACAAACCCACTACTGCTACCACCAATAATAATAATGATAAAGGAAATAACAAGGGAAGAGAATACTACCGCTCACCACCTGCCGACTGATACCCAGCCTGACCCGAACAACGATCTAGCTCTTCTGGGTAACTGCCCCCAGTTTATATACTGGGCATGACGTGCTGTGGTATGGAATACCCCTTTGGATAGTTTGGGTCAGGTGTCCTGTCTCTGCTTCCTCCTGACTTCCCCTCCTCCCTGGCAGAGCATGAGACTCGCAAAGTCCTTGGTCAGAGTAAGCATTACTTAGCAATAACTAAAAACATCGTTGTTATCAGCATTGTTCCGAGGCTGAAAGTCAAAAACTCAGCACTGCACCAGCTACTAAGAAGGAGAAAAATGACTGCTACTGCTGAACCTAGGACTTTGTCTTTCTCTGCTGGGAACTCATATCAGCCTTTCTATACTGGCCTTTAAGGCAGTTTTTAGCCGTTCACAGTGAATATCCTTAGGAAGTCTTGCTTTGCTCCTGCAGCACCTGCTGCCCCAATGTGTCATGGATGCCACTAGCAAAACATGATACTGTATTCTCTGACTTAAAGCAAATCATTAGAAAACTGTATGCAAGGTAATCTCACACAAATAATAACCCCTGCAGTGGATGTGGCAAATCTGTTGCATGTGCAAACATAGCTGATTTTTTTTTCCCCTATAAAATAATTCTTCCTTCATTATGCTTTTTACTTATTTTCTCTAAGAACAAGCCTGTGTTTAAAAGAATTTGTATGGAGCACACTTTTTAGGAGGTTTGTTTACCTACCTTCTAGTTCATGACCATCGTCCCCATTGTCCCAGCATTGGAGCAACCAGGTGGCAATGTGCTCCCCTGGATGACGGGTGAAATCCTTTCGCATATTCCGTAGCTCGGTTGAGGTCTGGGGTCAACAAGTCACCTCTTCTTCTTCCTCTGATCCACGTAATAATAACTCCTGTTCAGATGCTGTCCCCTGTAGTAAGTGCATTGGTTCTTCATCTTTATTCACTGTACAGGTTGCTCTTTGTGCCTCTTGTATGCTTTTCCCCTTGCTTATAGGGGCAACTGATATTGGCACGAATTGGTCCTTTGGTTTAGCTGCAGTGACTATCACTGTGGTTGGAGTGGCTGCAGTGTCTGTTGTTGGGGTTGGTGAAGCTGCTGTGCTTGGAGGTTGAGTAGCACCAGCAGCTGCATTGTCTGTTGCTTTTGGGGTTTTAGTAGCTGCTGTACTTGTCACTGGGGTTGGTGTAGTTGCTGTGTTTGGAGTTGGAGTAGCTGCATTGTCTGTTGCTTTGCTATCAGATCCAGAGACATCTTTTTCCCTTTGAAGGTGCTGGATAGTGTTGAACAGGGCTCTGTAAGTGTAGGCCAAGCCCCAGCACGTTGCCATGATTTGTCCCTCTCTGGTATGACCAGAATGACAACACACCTCATTTAAGTGTTTTACTGTTTTTTCCAGATTTTGCACTTGTTCAGTGGTGAAGTTCCAAAGCCCTGGAGCGGCCCACTGGCCTAGATACTCGCCCATACTATCCCACACACCCTGCCTGCCTGTCGTTATCTCAGCCCTTCGTGCCCCACGTGAGTGAGCGGCTGCGGGGTTCAGAGTTAAGGGCTGTGCTTAAACCGCGACAACTAGTCACCCTGGACACTGCCCCACCTTCTGGATAGCCCGGGTAACGCAAACGGTCGTGGGTCTCGTACAGGAGTTGGGAGGTAGGTTCAGTGCAAGTGCAGCTTAGCACAGTTCCATGTACTGCTTCTTGCATATGGCCACTTTTGAACGGTGTCTAAAACCAGGCTTATAAACAGCAACTATAAAGTGTTTGTGATGTGTCTTACAGTTCTGCGGCACTCGCGAATGAAATGTTTTAATCTGTGCGCAGAAATTCCTTGGTTTCTCTACTGTTTTCTTGCTCCCATGTTTTGTTTTTTCTTGCGTAAATCCAAGGGTTTGGAGGTTTTCTTGTTCAGTTTATAGTTTAGAATTTCTTGTTGATATTTTCTCACTCAGGTGTTGTGGTCTTCTTGTTAATTTTGTGGGATTTGGTATTTATTAGTCAGGATTTATGGTTCACTGCTCAGGGCATAGGTTTTAAAACTAACCTCAGCTAGATTCTTGGGTGACATGGTCTACTGTGACGCGTCCCTGCCCATGGCAGGGGTGTTGGAACTAGATGATCTTAAGGTCCTTTCCAATCCAAACCATTCTGTGATTCTATGATACGTTGTAAAGCCCCAGCAATCATTTGGGTTCTGAGATTTGCAGTTTTTCAGCTAGAGTTTAGGGTTTATAGCTTATTGTTAAATAGACAGGTCTAAATCCTGAGATAATAAGCTTTGGATTATTGATCCCAGAAAGGCACTCACACTCCACAAGGTATTGATTAAAATTCCATTTATTGAATTTAACACTAGAAGGAAAAAGAGGTTAGGATGGATAGTTCTGTGTCCTTCAGATGCTTGGAACTCTGATTTGCACAGAACCAGAGGGACCTTCAGTCAAGTCACAGCATATCATGCAGATCCCCTCTGTAGGGAGGTTCCACTAGCATCTTGGTCTTTAGAGCTCTTACAGTAATTTTTAGAAGAAAAAAATCTATTTGTCATCTCTGTCATCAGAGGAAAGGATGTTCACATGGGAACCTGCTGCTTCACTTTAAAATCAAGACAGGCAGGCTTTTTACCAGACCTTTACCAAAGGTCAATACCATACATTTACTAAAAATCGGTACCGTAACCTAGATCAAAAGCACCTTTCTTACCGTATCAGAGGTCCGTCGTGAGCAGCGGAGGTCGGTCGCGGTCGATAGCTCCCCAAGAATCTCTCGGTGCCAGCTGGAGCAGGATCGAAACGCGATCCTCCTCAGCAATGCCCGCGAGGTCCCATCTGGGTCGCCAAAATGTTAGCGTCGAGACAAACACATAACCACCGGGATGGTTATATGAGGTGCTTTATTGAGGCGCCGGGAACCAGGGGTACGCACCCAAATCTGGTTCCGATTCCCGTCACATCGCGTTCGCAATTTATACACTAAAAATTTCGTAACTAATACATATTCAACACAGATTACATCATTGACTAATACATGTGCATCAAAGATTGCTACATCAATCTATTACGACATCAGCCTCTTCTGCGCTTGCGCAGCCCCCTCTGGTGGTCGCCCTGATGAAGTAAGGAGTCTTCCTCAGATGAAGTAAGAAGTCTTCCTCAGGTTGTCCTTTTCACCTTTCCTTTACTTGGCCAGGTCCCAATCGTCTTCCGGACATTAGCATTCTCTTATCTTCACCAGGATGCTTCTGGTATGCCGTTTTTGGCTATCTTAAACTTAGGTTCTGCTTGGGTAGAGTTTTACAATACATACACCTATACTCCCCTTACCATATGCAGTTATGTTAGCTCTTGCTACCAAGACTACCATTGTATCATGTAGTTACAGAGTAACTATGATACAAAACGGCAAAGTTACAACGTCTTCTATTATACAAAGCCTCACTATTGATGTATAAATTTCTCAAATATAATCACTTTACTATTTTATATGATTATTTTATTGTAAAAACTTCACCCTCTCTAACAATCAGAGGAAAGGATGTTCACATGGGAACCTGCTGCTTCACTTTAAAATCAAGACATGTAGGTGCTCTCTCTAATTACCAGTGCCAAGTGGGAGCTGCCTACAGGCTCCTTTTTTACTGTTAGCCAACTAAGTTTATTTTGTTAGCAAGGGATGTGCATAGCACAGCACAGGCTGGAAGGCAAAGCTATACGTGCAGCATAGCACAGCTCAGTCCTGCACCTTATCAGGTTAACTGTTATGTGGATCACTAGCTCCATGATCATACAATAGTCTTCTGGTTAGGATTACTAGAGTAACCTTCCAACCACCCTGCATTAAGCTCTGCACCCTGATCTGAGGTCTCAGTTCAGTATAATGCAGGCACAATGCACTGAGCCAGAATGTTGAGGTGGCGGGCAGCCTGAGAGCTGTGCAAGTTTCTTGCAGAGTCCTAGTCAAGGGGTAAGGCAGAGGAACGAGTGGGTGAGGTCAGGGATCCTCCTCTCAAATACCAGAGCTTAATCTTATCCCTGAAAGAAAAAGCAAGGAAGGAGGCTCACAGCTGCTCACTGACTTGACACACCATGGACTGCTGCAGTAGGAGCTGACTCTTCTGCATTACACTGATGAACGCTGCTCCAGTGATGACTCTTATGGGGTCAGAGGAGAAGGGGTAAGCATAGTGGAGCACGGAGCCCCATAGCAGACTCACTCCCAGGTGTTAGGTGCATTAATAAATAATTGCTTTACTTTTTACACTCATGGCTGTGGGTCCTGCAGTCCCTTTACATTCAGTAAGAAGTGCATGAGGACTGTACCCAAGGGAAGGAAGCCTCCTATTGCTTCTGAGGGAGTGGGAGCTGGTCCCAAGGTCTTTTAGACCATTTTTGGGTCACTGGGAGGCATCCCAAAGAACTCCATCACTGCTCACAGGGCTGCTGGGGATTTATAGACATTTGGGGCTGTTGTGGCATTTCCCATCATCCCAGGGGCAGCTACCCTCCCCTCCCCCCCGGGCTGCATGAGGTCCCCAGGCTGCTCCTGACTTTGCCTACAGCACCCCAAGGTGTCCTCAGTGTGTCTGGGGCAGAGGGCTGGGGTCTGTGGGGACAGTGCTGGGAGATAGGGGTGCTGTGTGCCACTGGGCCTTCTGCTTTTGGCTGGCTGTGACTCGTAGTCATCAGTTTGCTCTGTCATCCTGTGGTGGTTTTCTTCTTTTCATCCCGTAGCTCTTGATTTGTTCTTTTCC